GGGCCCGCCCTCCCCAGCCGCCAGGTGAGGCCCCGCCGGGCCCCCTACCCAAGGCTGTGGTCTTCAGGCTGGAGCCCGCCCTCCGGTACTCAGCTCCGCAGCCGCATCCCAACAACCCTGCCTAGCCCAATTCCCAGGGTCACCTGTCCCTCGCACTGAAGCCGCTGGCCTCCTCTCTCAGCGCTGGGCCTTGTCCTACTCGTCTGTCCATCTCACACCGCATCTCTCTGAGCCAGGCTGAGAACACGAACCCCAGCCTTGCTCTCCAAGCCCGGTCCAAACTCTTGACATCATCCTCCACTTGCTCCACCATCTGACCAGGCCCTAGCTCTGCCCTTTCTACCTGTCCCCTCTCCCTTGCAAGGACCTGCAGGTCACCCTCTGTCCCCTGGCCTATCCCATGTCCTTATTTCCCACAATGACTCCCAACCCTCCTTGCCTTGGCCTCTCCTCTCTTGCCCTGTGTTAAAATCCTCATCTCCTCCAGCACGACATTGAACAGGAGGACCCCCGGGGGCGGACTCCCCTGGAGCTGGCTGTGTCCCTGGGAAACCTGGAATCTGTGAGAGTCCTCCTTCGACACAATGCCAATGTGGGCAAAGAGAGCCGCCAGGGCTGGGCAGGTACTGCAGAGGGCAAAGGGACTGTCCCACAGGCTGGCAGTGGGGTTGGTGAGTGGGCTTCTCTAGTAGCCTGGTGCCCCCCTCCCCGCCAGTCCTGCAGGAAGCAGTCAGCACTGGAGACCCGGAGATGGTGCAGCTGGTACTCCAGTATCGGGACTACCAGAGGGCCACGCAGAGGCTGGCTGGCATTCCAGAACTGCTCAACAAACTCCGCCAGGTACAGCAGAACACAGTGAGGGGTGTCAGTGACCCTGCCGTGTATGCAGAAGCCCTGGTCACCTGGACCAGGCCGGGTCTCGGAAGGGCACCCAGCCTGTGTGGACTGTTTTTCTAACACTGTTGACAAGGTCTGCCTGTCTTGACCCTAGCCTAGTCATGTAGGAAAGAGGAGTCCAGGCCCAGCCTAATGAGGTCAGGCCTTTGGAGGGAAAGTATGTGGCTTTGCCAGCATCCAGGGGCCCTGGTGTCAGAAAACTCTACGAACTTTAGGCTCTGGGCCCCCTGGAGAGTGCAGACATCCTGGAAGGGGGTTTCAGGTTAACTTGAACACATGGCCTAGGTCCTGGAAAGTTCTCTTTCTATACATTGCCCACTGTTCTGGGAGCATGCCCTCCCCCTCCACCCAGGACAGGCCTAGAGGGTTCATTTTGTCCCCTTACAGCGGAGGACTCTTAATACTCAGAAAGCAGGGACCAGCAGTTAGCATAATGGCTTTGTCGCTGGATTCCCATGTAGTCGACTGGGTTCAAGTCCCGGACCCAGTGGCTTATACTCATGCCGGGTGCGTGTGTATGCGCCCAAGATCCCGAGAGGAGAATGGAGGAGAAGGGATTATGGTGTGACCATCCCCCCTGGGGGGTGATTTTTCACTTTCTGTCTTTCTGGTGAGCACACATGCCCTATAGCAAAAACCTCTCCAAACAAACAAGACTCAGAAAGCAAAAAGTTCCCCCAGGGATCCCTGTGTCCAGGTTGGGACAGAATATGCGAACCATTCCAGCCTCTCCTGGGCAGGGATTTTTTGGGGGGTGAGAGGCATCGTGGGGCCATGCCGTGCATCCAGATTTGCTGAAGAGCTGGGCTCCCAGAGGGTGGACATAAAGCCCTCGGGCCCCCCGACTCTTAGCACTAGGTAGGGCCGTGATGGTCATCTCTGGTCTCTCTCAGGCCCCTGATTTCTACGTGGAAATGAAGTGGGAGTTCACTAGCTGGGGTGAGTGGTGACCACTTGGCTCCTGGGGGCTTGGGTTGGGGCCTCGGGAAACACCTCCAGTGACCTTGGCATTCCTCTGCAGTACCTCTCGTGTCTAAGATGTGCCCGAGTGATGTGTACCGCGTATGGAAACGGGGTGAGAGCCTACGGGTGGACACCAGTCTCCTGGGCTTCGAGCACATGACCTGGCAGCGTGGCCGGAGGAGCTTCATCTTCAAAGGCCAGGGTGAGCTCTGGGTACCCTCACTATAGGCCCGAGGCTCTCCAGTGGCTTTCAAAGATGACTGTCCTTTCTACATGCTAGATGTGAGACCCGAGGTTGGGGTAGAGGGAATCCAAGGGCTGAGGATTCAGCAGCCCCCACCTTCAGCCACTCCCTTAGCAGCAGGTAGCTGCGGTAGCTTGACAGCCCTCTCCTGGCTGGCTGGGGCCTAGCACTGATTTGCCCCCCTCCCACACACCTGCCCGACTGGCAGAGGCAGGAGCCCTGGTGATGGAGGTGGACCACGACCGGCAGGTGGTGCACACGGAGACGCTGGGGCTCGCGCTGCATGAGCCTGAAGCACTGCTGGCCGCCATGCGACCCAGTGAGGAACATGTGGCCAGCCGCCTCACCTCCCCTATCGTCTCTACCCACCTGGACACTCGAAACGTTGCCTTTGAGAGGTCAGTCAGGGTCTGGCACTCTGTGGGTGGGAGGTGGGAGAAGTAGCAAGAGCCACCGTTGAGGACAGGATGTCCTTGAGGCTCCTGGCTCGGGTCTCTGGGAAGCTGAGCCACGGGCCAGAGGCTGCCCAGATTGGTGGGCCAGGGGGTCACTGCAGGCCCGCTGGGTCACTCAGACTGCCTACTGGTGGTGAGGCTCTTGTGGCAGCGGTTGAGCCACTGCATGCTTATCTATACTCCCAACTGTCTTCCTGAGGAAGGGGCTAGGTCAGGATGTCCCGTTTCTTACCTTCTGGCCTCACGTGTTTTTCCATAAAATCAAGGGTTTAGGTTGTGGTTTAGGGCAGCCATTTGCACCAGTGTTGGTTTCCCGTTAGCATGGCTGTGTCTGGGGCAGAGTCCTTTGGGGTAGCCCTGGATCCTTGCCCCTCCAGTAAGAGTTCTTGTCTTATTTTGGTGAGAGTGTTCTCAGACAACATTGTCTCCAGTTCCAGTTATACACTCTGAAAATACTTTTAAAGAAATAGCTTTCGGAGCCCGCAGGTGGCATGGTGGTTAAGGCACTGGACTCCCACATGGCTGACTGTGGTTTGAGTTCCGGACCCAGCAGCTTAAAAAACACAATAAATATATAAATAATTTTTTTAAAGAGGCTTTATTGAGATACAATTTTATATGCCATCTAGTTCCATTCAGTGTGTACAATTCAATGGTTTTTAGTATATTCACAGATTTATAACATCACTAGTCAGTTTTAGAATATTTTTATCACCGTAAGAAGAAATCCCGTACCTTTTGCCTATCACTGTCCCAACCTCTCATGCCTCTTCCCAGCCCCAAGCAGCCACTACGTATACTTTTCACCTCTATAGATTCCCAATGCTAGGCCTTCATATGAATGGAATTTTATGATATGTTGCTTCTTGTGTCTGGCTTCTTTCACTCTAGTACAATGTTTTCCAGATTTATCCAAGTTATAACACATAAATATATACTTTGTTTCTTTCTTTGGTAGAATCCATTGTGTAGATACACCACATTCTGTTTATTCATTAATCTATTTCTTCATTATTGAAAGACATTTGGGTTGTTTTCACCATTTGGCAACTATGAATAATTTTGCTATAAATATTTGTATACAAGTTTTTGTATAAACATGTATTTTCATTTCTTGTGGGTGTATTCCTAGGAGTGGAATTATATTGGGTTATATTGTAACCTGCAGTTTAACTGTTTGAGGAGCTGCCAGACTGTTTTCCATAGTGACTATACCATTTCACATTCCAACCAACAGTGTATGAAGGGTCCCATTTTTCTATATTCTCACCAACACTTGTTACTATTCATTTATTCATTCTTGAAATATAGCCATCCTAGTAGTACAATCCTAGTGGTATAATGAAGTGGTATTTTATTATGGCTTTGATTTGCATTTCCTTAATGATGAATGAAATTGAGCATCTTTTTATGTGCTTTTTGGTCATTTGTATATCTGCTTTGGAGAAACATCTATTCAGTTCCTTTACTCACTTTTTGTTAAAGTTTACTTATTTCATGAGTGAAAGAGAGCTACAGTATCCCCAATGGGACCTTTATTTCCCCATATTTTTGCCATAGGGTGTGTGCACTTGCCAGACAGTGAGAGGAAAAGTGAGAAATCACGCCGCAGGGGGGATGGCCACACTGCAAACCCATCTCCATTTTCCTCCTGGAACTCTGGGCACACATGCACATGCACCTGGTGTGATTTTCAAGTTGCCAGATCTGGGACTCAAACCATGGTTGATCATGTGGGAGTCCAGTGCCTTAACCACCACTCCACCTGCTGGCCCCCGATGCCATGATCCACCTCTAGTTTGTATCACCAGCACACGTACACCCAGCATACTCAAGTACGTCTCCAGTTGAGAACTGGCACACCTTCCGAGTTAACCGCTGCAATACTGTCCTGCCCCCTTTACTCATTTAATGAATTGAACTCCCTTGGGACCAGCAGGTGGCATGGTGGCACCTTGACCATGAGTAAAGGGGCCCAGACAATGTTGCAGCAGTCAACCTGGAAGGTTGTCAGTTTGCATCTGGAGACCTCCCTGAGTATGCTGGGTGTACGTGTGCTCAGGATTCAGGCTGGCTAAAGCTGGAGGTGAATCATGGCATCAAGATCCCATCAGCAGGCCAGCTGTCTCTCTGGCTCTCTCTGGCTATCTGGTGAGCGCATGCGCCCTATAGCAAATATCTCTCTAAAAATATTACATAAATGTATTATTCACATATATTTTCTCTACTTTTATGGATTGCCTTTTCACTTTCTTTTTTTTTTCATTTAACTTTATTATTGTTATCATTGTTATTTTCCAGTTTGATCAGAGAGAGGCAGAGAGAGAGAGGAAGTGAGAAAGCAAGCCACCAGGTCCGAGACTTGAACCGTGGTCAGCCATGTGGGAGTCCAGCACTCTTAACCACCATGCCACTTGCTGGCCCCTCTTTTCACTTTCTTGATGGTATCCTTTGAAGCACAAGTTTTTTATTTTGAAAATATACAGTTTATCTGTTTTTCTTTTATTGTTCATTATTTTTGTGTCATATGTAATGATACATTGCAAAATCTGATTCCCCCTGCCCTTTTTTTTTTTAGCGAGAGCAAGATTTTTGTTATAGGGCACTTGTGCTCGCTAAAAAGACAAGAGAGTTGGAGAGATAGAAAGCAAGAAATCACCCCCTGGGGGGATGGCCACACTGGAATCCCTTTTCCTCCATGCCTCTCTTGGGATCTTGAGCACGCATGCACAAGCACCCAACGAGAGTTTAAGCCGCCAGGTCCAGGACTTGAACTGCAGTTGACTACATGGGAGTCCAGCGACATAACCATTATGTCATCTGCTGGTTCCCCTCCTTTCTCTTTTAGTTTTATACTTTTGTTCTTACCTGTAGGTCTTTGAGCCATCTAGAGTTAATTTTTGTATGTAGTGGAAGGTAAGAGTCCAACTTCCTTCTTTTGCGTGTGTCTATCAGTTGTTCCAATCCCATTTGATGAAAAGACTGTTTTTCCTATTGCGTAGTCTTGCCACCCTTGTCAAAGCAGTTGGCCAGGGGTGTGTGGGTTTATTTCTGGACACTCAATTCTGTTTCATTGATTTATATGTCTGTCCTTGTGCCAGTATTATGCTCTTTCAATCACTGTTGCTTTGTAGTAAATTTTGAAATACTGAAGTGTGGTTCTTTCTTCATTATTCTCTTTTTCAGGATTATTTTGTGTATTCTTTTTTTTTTAATTTATTTTATTCATTGTCATTATTTTAATTTAATTTTTTTTTTTTGAAGTTGACCAGAAAGAGACAGAGAGAGAGGAAAGTGAGAAAGAAAGCTGCCAAGTCTGGGACTCGAACTGTGGTCAGCCATGTGGGAGTCCAGCAGCCTTAACCACCACACTACCTGCCAGCCCCCCCTTTTTTTTTAATGAAACTTTTTTTTTTTCTTAAGAATTATTTTAGGGCCAGTAGGTGGCGTGGTGGTTGAGGGGGATGGACTCCCACATGCCCAGCCACGGTTCGAGTCCTGGACCTGGTGACTTGCTTTCTCATTTGTCTTCTTTCTCTTTTTCTTAATTAAAAAAGTAAAATAATTATTTAAATTTATTTGTTTATTTTTAAATTTGATCAGAGAGGAACAGTGAGAGAGAGAGAAAAGAAAAAAAAGTGAGAAAGCAAGCCTTCAAGTCTGGGGGTTGAACCTTTGTCGGCCATGCCTTTAACCACCACGCCACCTGCCGGCCCGTACTTTGGCTATTCTGAGTCTCTTGCACTTTATAGCAATTCTAGATTCAGCGTATCAGTTTCCTTTCTTTTCTTTTTTTCTTTTTTTAAATTATTTATTTTATTTATTCATTCATTTTATTTTAATTTGACCAGAGAGAGACACAGAGAGAGAGAAAGAGGGAAAGTAACAAAGCAAGCCACCAGGTCTGGGACTCGAACCATGGTCGTCTATGTGGGAATGCCCAGCTCCCCAACCACCACGCCACCTGCTGGTCCCCCAGCTTGTCAGTTTCTTACAAAACAGTCTGATAGGACTCTGATAGGCTTGTGCTGAATCTGTAAATCAGTTTGAGGGGTATTATCATCTCAACAGTGTTAAGTTTTATGATCTATAACCATGGGATGTTTTTCCATTTATTTAGATCTTCAGTTTTCGATGAATTATTTTATTTTTATTAATTGTCATTATTTTATTTTTTTGAAGTTGACCAGAGAGAGAGAAGGAAAGTGAGAAAGCAAGCTGCCAAGTCCGGGACTTGAACCTCTGTCAGCCATGTGGGAGTCTAGCCTCTTAACCACCACACCACCTACTGGCCCCTCTTCAACAATATTGTATAGTTTTCAGAATATACATTTTTTTAGAGAATTTTTCAAACCTAACTTTATTTATTTTAATTTGATGAAAGAGAGACAGAGTGAGAGAGAGAGAGATGGAAAGTGAGAAAGCAAGCCGCCAGGCCCAGGACTCTAACCAAGGTTAGCCATGTTGTAGTCCAGCACCCTTAACCACCACACCACCTGCTGGCCCCCAGAATATACATTTTATTCATCTTTTGTTAAATCTGTTTCTGCTTCTAGGGCCAGCAGGTGGCATGGTGGTTAAGGGTGCTGAAATCCCATGTGGCTGACCATGGTTTGAGTCCCAGACCTGGAGGCTTGCTTTTTCATTTTCTCTCTCCCTCTCTCTGTGTCTCTCCCTCTGGAAATATTAAAATACTAATAATAACTAAATTATAGAACCGGAAGGTGGCATGGTGGTTAGAGGTGTTGGACTCCCATATGGCTGACTGCGGTTCAAGTCCCAGACATAGTGGCTTGCTTTCTCACTTTTCAGTGTGAGTGTATAAAAATGTGATTTTGGGGACCAGCAGTTGGCATAATGGCTATGTCGCTGGACTCCCATGTCGTTGACCACGGTTCAAGTCCTGGACCTGGTGGCTTAAACTCACGCCGGGCATGTGTGCG